AACACTGCCTGAACAAAGAAGGGACAGGAACCATCCCTAAAAACCTGAGCCCTGGAATCCTTTAGGGTTAATGGAGATAACTGGGCATACTGGGATGGAGACTGGGGCATGGTGGGAGCTCTCCAGACACCACCTCAGTCCCCTCTGGCCAGATAATGAGAACCTTGCGATGATGGGTGTTGATGTTGGGTTTTTTTTAGGGTTTTTTTGGGGGCATTGAATGGTTGGGAATGGCAGGATGGGGTGGCATTGCTGTGACTTCAGTCCCAGCAGAAAAAATGAAGTATTTGGGCCACCATGTGACCCTGGTGATGATCCAGAGAACTCCTGCTGATGCTGAAGGACAGGAACACAAACTGTTGGACACCAAAGCCTGGTTTGTGCTACTGGTGCAGACTGGGGCTGTCTGAATGCCCAAATTTCCTCTCTTTCCTCAAATCTGTGTCCAAAACTGAACCTGTGACCTCACCCCTGAACTCAGGAGCAGCTCAGGCTCCTCTGAGCACCTCAGGAGCAGCTCAATCCCCTGTCAGCACCTCAGGAGCAGCTCAGGCCCCTCTGAGCACCTCCCACAGCTCTGAGCAGAGCCAAGGGGCTCAGCCAGCACTGGGAAGGGCTCAGTCCCCACTCACTGCCTCCAGCCAGCAGGATCAGCCCGAATTTCAGCTCCCAAACACCCCCATGGAGCTGGAACTGCCTGGGCTCTTCCTGAGGGAAAGGAACAAAGTGTGGGGGAGATCCAAGGGTCCCTGCAGTGGGACTCACCCACTTCCAACCCCACCCTACAGGCAGCTGGGAGGGTTTCCATGGGTGCATCCTGTGCAGGTCTCGGGTTTTTGGTTGTTAATTGCTGCCCTGAGATGTGCAGGATGTCTCTGTTTTGGCCCGTGCAACTGAAGAACGAGTCTGGACTCTTCACTTTTCAGTCTTGAGGTTGTTTATTAATTCTTATATCTATAAAATTTTCTTTCTGCCCAGCCGAGATCTGCTCAGCAGGGCAGCCACAGGCACTCTGTGTTGTCCTTTTATACTACAAACTACCTATAACATATTTACACTTAATNTCCTCGTCATTTTTCCCAAATATCAAACAAACATACCTGTTATAGCCCTGCCCTTTCTCTCCCCATGAGCTCAGCAGGATGAATTTTGGAAGCCTGGCTCAGGTCTGAGTTCTGTCCCTGGTGTCACACATGTGTCACCTACAGATGTCACACAGGGATTGTGTCAGGAAGGCAAAGCAATTCCCTGGGGCTGTCCCAGGACTCTCTGGGATGTTTCCCTCACTGGAATTTGTGGTGGCAAATGCAATCACCTCCTCTTTTGGGGCTGGCTTCACTTTCCCTTCATTCCTGACCCTTGACGGGGGCAAATTTGGCATTTCCAGTCCCAGGGATTCCTCTGTCCCAGCTGGGGCAAGGAAAGGAGAGCACCATGCCCAGCACAGCTCCTGCCTGTCCCCAGCCCCAAAGGCAGAGTCAGGGCTGGCTCCCAGCTCTGCCAGTGAAATGCATTCCTGTTCCAAGCAGGAAATCTGCTTGGCTCAGCCTGCAGCTGGGAGTTTGGAATAATATTTGCTCTGAGCTCAGTTCCCCTGGGGGTTTGCAAACAGCCCGAGCCCAGCAGCCCCGTCACTGTGGAGGATTTCACAATCCAGGATCCCTCTCCAGGGAGAGAGTGGCATTCACATTTCTGAAAAATCCCTTCACGCAGGATTTTGCTCCTGGGAAGCTGAGAAGCCTCAGCAAAAAGAAAAACAATAATTATCTGATTTGCTTCTCCTGTGTTTTGCTGCTTTGGAATGTGTTTGGAGATTGTTTACCCACAGGTGATTGTTCCATTGGATTCTGCTGGGAGTTGTTTTCACTCTTTGGCCAAGCAGGGCCAAGCTGTGCCAGGACTCTGGAGAGAGTCACGAGTTTTCATTAGTATCTTTTTAGCATTCTGTAAGTGTCCTTTCTGTATTCTCTAGTATAGTTTTGACATTCTTTAATATAACATAGTATCATAAAATAATAAATTTGCCTTCTGAGAACATGGAACCATATTCATCATTCCTGCCTTCATCAGGGCACACAGGTGTCACACAGGTATCACCCGGAGGTGTCACATAGAGGTGACACACAGGTGTCACACAGGCATCACGTGGTATTTTCAGGGTGCCCCATGGCAGGAAGGAATGATACATCTGACTCAGAAGGCTAATTCATTATTTTATTATATGATATTATATTAAAGGATGCTATACTAAACTATACTAAAGAATACAGAAAGGAAACTTACAGAAGGCTAAAAAGATAATAATGAAAACTCGTGACTCCTTCCAGAGCCTCGACACAGCTGGACCCGGATTGGTCATTAAGTAAAAACAATCACCTGTGGGTAAACAATCTTCAAACACATTCCAAAGCAGCAAACACAGGGGAAGCAAATGAGATAAGAATTGTTTTCCTTTTCTCTGAGGCTTCTTAGCTTCCCAGGAGAAAAATCCTGGGCAAAGAGATTTTTCCAGAAAACATGACAGTGACAGTCACACACAAGTGTCACACACATGTATTACACAGGTGACACGCAGTTATCACACACAGGTGTCACACACAGATGTCACATACAGGTGTCATATAACAGGTATCACACACAGCTGTCAGGTATCACACAGGAGTCACACACAGGGGTCACACACAGCAGTCACACAAGTGTCACGTGTTACACACAGGTGTCGCACAGGGGTCACACACAGGGGTCACCTACAGGTGTCACACACAGGTGTCACACAGGTGTCACACACAGGGGTCACCTACAGGTGTCACACACAGGTGTCACACACAGGTGTCACACACAGGTGTCACACAGGTGTCCCAGCATCTCTGTGCTCTGCTGCCAGCCCCCGACCCGAGGTGTCCCACAGCTCTGGCCCCTGGCTGGGCACGGGTGGCATTCCCGGAGCAGGGCCCCGGCAGTGCCGTTCTGCTGGGCTGCAGTGACATCCAGTGGCTGTCCCGGGTGGCCCTGTCTGGGCTGTCACTGCTGTCACTGCTGCCAGCAGCTCTGCACTCCCGCCAGGGGAGGAGCAGATTTTCCTCTGAGCATTGACAGCTCTGTACCTGTCACTGTCACATTTTCTGGAAAAATCCCCTTGCGCAGGATTCTTCTCCTGGGAAGCTGAGAAGCCTCAGGGAAAAAGGAAAACAATAATTATCTGATTTGATTCTCCTGTGTAGTGCTTGTGTTTGGAGGTTGTTTACCCACAGATTATTGTTTTTATTAGTTTTTATTGTGAGTTGTTTTCACTCTTTGGCCAATTAGGGCCAAGCTGTGTCAGAACTCTGGAGAAAGTCACAAGTTTTCATTATTATCTTTTTAGACTTCTGTAAATATCCTTTCTGTATTCTTTAGTATAGTTTAGTATTCTTTAATATAATATAGTATCATAAAATAATAAATTAGCCTTCTGAGAACATGGAACCATATTCATCATTCCTCCCTTCATCGGGGCACCCCACAAATCCAGCAGGGGAGCTGCAGGGATGGCTGTGCCCCAGGGCTGTTAGGAACCAGGGTGAGCTGCTCCTTTCTGTTCCCAGCTCCAGGCAGACTCTTGGCTGGATAACAGCCATGGGAAAATCCGTGGGACTGGGAATGCCAAATGCTTCCTGAAGGCCCTGGCATCCCAAATAAACCAAATTAGGATTTTAGTCCATCATGAGGACTTGGTGCTGTGTATTATTTAATATAATATAGTATCATAAAATAATAAATCAGCCTACTGAGAACATGGAGTCAGATTCATCATTCCTCCCTGCCACGGGGCAACCCACAATTACAATGGGTACCCAGCTCAGAAAGCTCCTGCTGGCCCTTCAGGCAGCAGAGAGATATGTTTTAACCAGCAGAAATATTTAAAATCATGTAGAATTTCCTTTTTTATCCTCCTCGCTGCCTACAAGCTCTGATTTATAGAACCCCAAACCCTCTGCCCTCAAACCACAGCTGGAATTTTTCCTACCCAGGGAGATCCACAGAGGTTCCTTCCACCCTGTTTGATTTTTTACAAAAGTCCTGCCTTGCTGATCTCTATTTGTCATGAAATCTGGGCAGGAAAAAGCCCAACACACGGAGCTGGTGCAGCTGTGGATATTCTAGAGTCACCATTGTAACAAATAATCATCAAACCCCACAGAAGGGTAAAGGTGCTGCTGTTCTCACCTATTAAAGGTTTTTTGTTTTTGTTTTTTTTTTTTTTGCATTTTAGAGCAAATAAAGAGTGTGGCAGGTGCCCAGCAGAGACTGAGGGGTGTGTGTGCCGGCAGAGCCGGAACTGGAACTGGGGTAGAGTGGGATTCACTGGGATATACTGGGATCAGCAGCAGTGGAGCTGGCAGGGAGGGCAGGGCTGAAGCTCAGAGCAGGCGATGATCAGACCCAGGAGCAGCCAGATCCTCTCTCCTCTGGCGCTCTTAGAGCTTGTGAGCAGATTTAGCACAGAAATAGACTCTGAACATGTGTTTGGTGAGAAGATTTAACTCAAAAATAGCCCCTTACATGTGTTCTGTGAGCAGATTTAGCACAGAAATAGCCCCTCACATGTGTTTGCTGTGCAGATTTAATACAAAAATAGCCCCTTACATGTGTTCTATGAGCAGATTTAACACAGAACACAGACCCTGAACATGTGTTTGATGAGCAGATTTAACATAGAAATAGCCCCTTATATGTATTCTATGAGCAGATTTAACTCAAAAATTGCCCCTTATATGCGTTTGGTGAGAAGATTTAACACAAATAGCCCCTTATATGTGTTTGGTGAGCATGTTTAACTCAAAACTAACCCCTTACATGTGTCTGATGTGCAGATTTATCACAGAAATAGCCCCTCACATGTATTCTGTGAGCAGATTTAATTTAAAAATAGCCCCTTACATGTGTTCTATGAGCAGATTTAACACAGAAATAGCCCCTGAACCTGTGCTTTCTACTCTCTGTTCTGTGTTTCCCTCCAGGAACCAGTGAAGACCTTTTCCAGGACTCTGAGGGGCGGGAGGGATCTGAGCCCATCGAGGAACACCAGTTTTCAGACCTCGAGGAATCTGACGACGATGACGACAACGAGGACGAGGAAGACGAGGAGGAAGAGGAGAGCCAAGACGAGCCAGCGCCGAAGCTGCCGGAAGGCAAAGCCGACACCCTCCTGCTGCACTCCTCAGGGGGCTCCCCGTCCTCTCCAGAGGAAGGCATCCAAACATCCCCAGCTCAAGAAGCTGCCTCCAGCACCCCGAAAGCAGGGGAAGGCCAGCAGGCCTCCTCCTCCTCTTCCTCAGGGCTGGAGAGCAAGTGGTCAGCAGACAGCAGTGACATTGCTGTGTGCCACAGCTTCCTGAGCCTCCACAGACCAGCTCTGACCTCCACCGAGCACTTGGCTCCTGCTGAGAGAGAATCTGTCACCAGGCCACAGATGTCCTTGGTCATGGACCTGTCGACCTCCAAAGACACCTCCCCAAGGAAAAGGTGGTCCCCGAGCCAGGAGTGTGGCAGAGGGGGCGGCAGCAGCAGCAGCAGAGCAGTGCTGGCAAGGAAGCACTTACTGACCAAAAACGAAACGTCCCCCAAACGCTTCTCCCCCACGGCAGAGCTGTCCTCCCTGAGGTGCCTGTCCCCAGGGAGGGGGCTGTCCCCCTGCCAGCGCCTCTCTCCCAGGAGGGAGCTGTCTCCCCTGAGATGTGTGTCCCCAAGGCTCGAGCTGTCGCCCAGCAGGCACCTGTCCCCCCGGAGGGAGCTGTCCCCGAGGACAGCCCTCCCCCCAGAAGGAGAAGTGGCCCCTGCCAGGCACTCATCGCCCAGCAGAGAGATGGCATCCCTGAGGTACTTCTCCCTGAAGAAAGTCTTGTCTCCAGGCTGCTTGGAGCTGGCCAGGTATCCACCCCCTGGCAAAGAGGACTTGCCTGGCACGAGCAAATCGGCAGAGGACAAAGTTCCAAGCTCATATCAAGCCCAGCCCGGGATATTCTCTACGATGCCTCTACCTCACAGGTTCTTTGGCAAAAACTTACAGCTCTACGAGTCCAAGCTGGTAAGTCCAGTGCTCTGCTGCCCTCTGGTCCTCACAGGGTGGTCTCTGACATGGTTTTTTGTGAAGGGTGTGATGCAGAAGTGCACAGGGACCCTGTGATCGCTGTCACAGGTGACCCAGAGAACAGGGACAGGGGACAGCAGTGGGTTTTGCTCCAATTTGAGTCCTACCCTTCTCAGTTGGAGAGAAATAAAGTTATCCCTTCTCCAAGGGGTTATTCCCACTCCTGAGCCAGCCAGTCCTGCTGGGACAATCAGCAAGGACAAACTCTTAATGATTAATTGTCACTAAGAGCCTTTTTGTTCCTGGGAATTCCATTCCCATCCCTGAGGTTTCCCCAGCTGGGGTGGAGCTGTGACCATTTCCCAGTGGTCAGTGACCTGAGCCAGCCCTGGCTGAGCCCTGTGTCCACCCACAGCCAGCTCTTCTGGATGAGCTGCTGAGAAATGTTTGTTTGGACAGCTCTCATTTCATCTCTCCTCTCTTCAGCACAGAGGGGGTTCCCACTGGGTCCAGAACATGATTTAATTTCCCTGCTGGACAAATTAAATCCTGTGGGTAAAGGGAATTTTCCTGTTGCCCCCAAGGCTGCAGGCAGATCCATGGGGGTGTTTGGGGGAATATTTCCCATTCCTGCTGGAGTGCCTGGCTCTGCTGTCAGTTGTGCTGAGGAACATGAGATCCCCTCACTGTGGGGAGAGACTCCAGCCCTCAGGAACTGCACTGGGGAGAGAGAGGCCCTTACAGAGCCCCTGCCACCCCAGATGCTGAGCCAGAGCTTCTCCAGATCTTTCTGCCATGCCAACCTTCTGTCCTGTGGTGCCTTCTTCCTGCTCTTTTCCACTCTGAGTCTTTGTCTTACCTTCCCAGATACTCTCCTTTACTTTAGGGCCAAACCTTGGCTTCCTTTAATGCTGTTTCCCTTTCCTGTCAATCCATTTCTTGTGGTGAATCCCAGGGCTCTGGAAACCCTCATCCTTCAACTCTTCTGTCAAGATAACTTCCTGCTGCCTCTGCTTGGAGCAAACCCCCTCAGCTCCCAAATCCACAGTAGGAGACAATGTTTTAAGCCCTGCTTGTCTGCCATTCCCACCTTTCAGCTCCTTTGGTCACATTTACCTTTTGGCTTCGTTTTCCTGCTCCTTTTCTACACCCAGAGCCACCACTGTTACTTCTCTGTGTGCCTCCAAAGCAGCAGCAAAAACCCAAATGGAAAAATTCCCCTTTATCAGCACGATGGACAACTGGGCTTTCATTGCAAAATTAACATTCCTTGTGAGGCCACAAGAGACAGAAGGACCAGAGAAGGGTTTATCAGGTCCCAGTCAGAGTTTGAAGATGATCTTAGCTCAGTTCCAGTGTCAGGCTCGCTGCCAAGTCTCACCCTAACCATCTCTCTTCCCACTGGCCCTTGCTTAGGGCAGTCTCTCCCTGTGGTGATTGTTGCACCACTGAAATATTTGTTTGGGGTTTCCCAGCATCCCTGAAGTGATTTAGCCACGGCTTCCTGTGGATAAGTGACATTTAGCAGTGTTGGGGCTTGTCACTGCTGACCCAGCACACTCTACCTTTGGTGGCTCTTCCTTTTTCTCTTTCCTGTTCTCTTTTGCTGCTTTCCTCTGCTGTCTCCTCAGAGATCCAGCTCACAGGATCAGGGAATTATTCCCCATAATCCTACAAAGAAATGTGCCCTCCAGTGGATCCTCACATTTTATCTCCAACCCCATCTTAATTGAAAGTTGATTTCAATGGTTGCCTCCTCTTCTTGGGAGTCCTGTGCAGGGATTTAGTCATAACCTCATCACTAATTAATCCATTTCTGTTTAGCCACATATCTCTCCATGATGTACGTTAGGAAACTATGGGAAGCACCGAGAGAGAAAGAGGAAAAGGTAAAATGTAGGGTCTGAACCCTTGATTTGCACAGAGCACCCCATGAGGGTGGTGGTGGGGACCCACTGCTGGGTGTGCTGGACTTGATGCTGCCTCTCACTGGAAGCATCCCTGCACCCAGCAGCTGTAAGGATGCAATCCTGCTTTAGGAAAACACAGTGAAAATTAATAAATAAATATAAAATAACCTCATTCTGGGCTCTCAGGAACCCCCTGCACTGACAGGGATCCCAAGCAGCTCAGCTGGCAGCAAGCTCTGGCAGCTCTGCCAGTGTTCCAGAGGCAGCTCTGAGAGTAGGGTTGATGGTTTTAAACTAAAAGAGGGGAGATCCAGACTAAAGCTAAGGAAGAAATTCTTTACTCAGAGGGTGGGGAGGCCCTGGCACAGGTTGCCCAGGGGGATCTCTGGAAGAGCCCAAGGCCAGGTTGGACAGGGCTTGGAGATCTGTGGTCTAGTTAATGGTGTCCCTGCCCATGGCAGGGGTTGGACAAGATGGCCTTTAAAGGTCTCTTCCAACCAATAAATCTGATTTTATAAGGATCCAGGCCTAAGCTAAATCCCTGAGTCTGTGCCCCAGCACCCCATGGGCACATTTGTCCCAGAAGGGAAATGCTGTGGGTTGTGCTGCTCCTCACCTTCAAGGTCTGGGGCTCCACATCTCCCTGACTTGCCTGACCTCCCTCAAACCCACATAAAACCCTAACCCCAGTCCTTGGAGGCCACCCCCCGTGTGTCACACTGACCCAGCTCTTCTTTCCTGATTTTATAATGATCCAGGCCTAAGCCAAATCTCTGGATCTGTGCCCCAACACACCGTATTTGTTGGGCATATTTGTCCCAGAAGGGAAACACTGTGGGTTGTGCTGCTCCTGACCTCCCTCAAACCCGAATAAAACCCTAACCCCAGTCCTTGGTGGCCATCCTCCGCGTGTCACACTGACCCAGCTCTTCTTTTCCCCCCTGGCACAGAAGATGGAACCCCACAGCCCGCCCTGCTCTCCCGGCACCCCGCCGCCCGTGTGCCCCCGGCCCCTGCAGGCCCCTCACGACCTCCACGCTCCCGGCCGAGGGGAGGAGAATGTCTTCAGCCACCTCCCGCTGCACTCGCAGCAGCTCGCCAGGACCCCGTACCCCATGATCCCCATCGGGGGCATCCAGATGGTGCAGGCCAGGCCCAGCTCCCACGCCAGCCTGGTGCCCGGCCCCGTGCTGCCCCTCCAAGGCGGACACTTCCCCTCAGCCAGCGGCCTCGCCCAGCTCAGCCGGGCTGCCACGAGGGACGGGGAGCCCCAGAGCCCTCCAGAGCCCTCATCGGCGTCCGTGTCCCCCGTGGCCAAGGTCTCCAAGTACACCCTGAGCCCGGAGCCGGCAGGTGGTGGCTTCTTGGAGGAGAAGATGAGGACTAGCGAGCTCCAGCAGGAGCAGGAGGAGCGTGGGCCTGCAGCAGAGGCCGAGCCCAGCCCGGCCGAGCGGCCGCGGGCCTCGGTGTCCCCAGGCAGCCCCAGCAGCCCCAAGGAGCCCCATGTGGAGCCCTCAGCCAGCGGGGAGGAACCCTCCAAAGCCACGGGCAAGCAGCCATTGGGCAGCTCGAGCACCCCTTCGGAACCAGCCTGCACTTTCATCTCAGCCGTCCCCTCGCTGGCCAGGGACAGCCCCTCAGAAGCGCCCCCTGGCCACCCCCAGGCCCCGCGCCCCAGGAACCTCTCCGGAGAGCCCGGCGGGAGCAGCCCTCACCCAGAGCACTCCGATTTAGGTCAAACTCACAAAAAGGTGGATGAAAACGCGGGAAGTACTTAAGCCTCCGCCAGCTGTTCCACCTTTAGGCTTCCTCTGTAAAATCAGCAGACATTTTCAACACTATTTCCTTTAGTATAATCATAAGAAGCACTCTAGTGAATGACCAAACCCATGGAAAATTCCTGGTTTTCTTTGTCCCAGTCTGGTATTATCTCCACATGTATGCAGTTACTTGTGCCTTTTTCTATACCTTTTGTTGCTTGAAATGTACAAAACTGTTTGAGGCTGTGAATATTTTTTTAGAGTTTTTTGGAAAGGGGGTTTGTTAGACGTTGTCTTTTTTGCCATTTAGGTGTGCGTAATCCTGGGCCTGAGAGATGTAGAAAGGAAAGGGTTAAGCATTTTAAAGAGGAAGAAGATGCACTGAAAACAAAAGCAAAACAGAAAAAAACTTTTTTTTTATATTGCTTAAATGATTAAAAAAAAAGGAAAAAACCCAAACCCTTGCTCCTGTGTACAGAAGTTTATGATTCGTATTTATTACATGCTTTATTTAATTCATGCAAAGTGCTTGGTTTTTTTGGTTTTCTTTTTCCTCGCATCCCTATGGTTGTGCTTTAAACAGTTGAAACTGCTTTACATTTGAAAAAACGTGTTTACCCTGACCTTGTGACTGAAAGTAGCACTTCCTTGAGCAGGGGAGGTTTGTTGTGTGCAGGGAGAAAAACTGTCCCTCGAAAAGAGGACGACAAACTGCGAGCACCCCTCCCTCCTGCAGAACCCAGCAAAGCACTTTTCTAAAAAAAAAAAAAAAGGGACAAAAAAAACTAAAAAAAGAAGAAAAAAAGTTCTTCTTCAAAGATTTACCTGCGAGAAGGTAGGAATGTATGGAATGTAGAGCCCGTGCCAGGAAGGGTCTCTCGCTGGACGAGCCTCCTGCTTGCTTTGCTTTAATCCTCCCGCAGCGCCCAGCAAAGCCCTGTCTGGGCTGGGGGAACCTCTGCAAACCCTCCCTTGGTGTCAGAGGGGGAGGAACTCAGCCTTGAAACCATTTCTCCCTCCGGCATGTTTGAGTTGTGGACAAGCTGCCCCCATCCCATCCCATCCCATCCCATCCCATCCCATCCCATCCCATCCCATCCCCTAATCACATTCCATCCTGTCCCGTTCCATCGTGCCCTGTCTGTGCCATCCCATCTTCCCATCATCCCATCCCATCATCCCATCATCCCATCCCACCCATTCCCATCGTACCCCATCCCACTCAATCCCATCATCCCATCCTACCCAATCCCATCATCCCATCCCATCATCCCATCCCATTCCACCCAATCCCACCCCATCCCAGGCTGCTCTGGGATCTCCAGGGATGCAGGAGGTCTCCGGACTCTGCTCCTCCTCCAGGGCTCTCGGTGCCTCTGGCTCCTGTTCTCACCTTTATTTATTTATTGGCATGGGACATCCCCAGCTCAGCCCCTCTGGCATGGACAGGCCCTGTTTTTGGCTGGTTTTGGGAGATAAAAATGTTGATGCTGAATGGTGAATGCTTGCAAAATCAGCTTGTTATGCATGCGCAGCAGCTTTTTCCAGAGCAGATTTTTCGGGATGGGCATCCCTGGCAGAGCAAAGACCTGAACTGCCAATACATCCGATACCAAATCCAGAGTGACCCCGACAGAGCCATTCCTCTGTCACAAATTTTAAACCACAAAGCTTCAAGTCGTTTGCCCCTGCAGGGTCTTTACTACTTCAGAGGGTTTTCTGGTCGATGGAATCTGTACAAACCTCTTTTTTTTTTTATTTT